TTACATTGCGCAGACCTCATTAGTTTTACACTCAAATCTGGTCATATTAATTTTCTGATTTGCATAATTAGTTTTCAGCTAAGTAATTTCGAATTATATTTAATGTGTTTCCAATACTCTCAGCACATGGGAGTTCTTTCTAAGCTTTCTTTGATTTCTATTGGTATCTCATTTATACATTGGTATTAAGCAAAAATTCTAATTATGGAGCTAAATACTTCATTTTAGAAATAAGATACAATGTATATTGCTTTATTTCCATAAAGTTTAAATCAACAATTGCTGTGATCTTTAACTTTTCTTTGTGACCAGGGTTGAGTAGGTGCCATTTTGTTGAAATCAGTCATGTAATGGAGACCATAAAATATGCACACTATTGTGGTAAATGACACAAAATTGTCAGAAAGAGGTTAGTCTCTCAAGATTGCGTCATATTTGACATTTAGTCTCTGTCGTTGTCATCTTGTACCATAGTTGAGATGTACATGAGATAATGGCAATAATGGCAAACTACACAAGTTGGGCAGTAAGAATTTGAATGACATTATTCTCGCCAACAATTTGTTGCAACATTTTGCCTAATGGACATATTTTCAATTTTCATTTTGTGAATGGTTTTAAAAGTTGAATTTTGTGTTCAAAAGGTTAAGGTCAGTTTGTAGTCAAGGTTGACTTGCTGAGGTTGTGGTTCAAATTAGGAGTTTACCATTTGAAATAGTGGGGGGTGTCTGAAAATTTTGTTGCAAAAACAAATTGCCAGCTGGACAACAAGGAAAAAAAATCCATGTATGATGTTGCAAGGGAATAACATGTTTGCACATAAAAAAAATGTACAGATTAAGACGTAACAGGAAAAAATTGCACTGGTCACTCATCCAGCTAACTCCCTCCAATGATTTGAAATGGTTGACCCCTTACAATGTTCATGCATCAACTGATTCATATCATTCTAGCGTATGACTTGTTTTAGTACTTCCTGTGGTTTTATGTCAGTATTTTTAATGCTAAGTTCTAGGACACATAATAAAACTGACATTCCAATCTATATTTAGGACTCCATAAAAGCCGAGGTCAGTACTGATACACCATGGCATAATAACTTTTTTTGTCTGCATTCTACATATA